ATATGTCAGTTGAGATTGAAGAATCACCTGAAAACACCTGAACCAGGACTTCTGTCTGTTGGACAGAGAGTGAGGACCGAGACGGACAGAGACATTATTTCTTTTATATTTTTATATATTTATATTCGAGTCCAGATTGTAACTGGACCAGTTACATGTACTGGGGGCCGCGCGGCGCGGGCGCGGGGGTGGGGCGCACGGGGGGCGGGTCATATCAAACAGTGTTCGAGAGATTTCATTGTTTTGATTCTGCCCATCAAAATCACGGCATCTAATGGAGGACACCGGCTTCCAACTGGGGGGGTTGCCAGGCGGCGTGGCTGGGTGGTAAGGCCCATGACATCATCCAAGTACACCATTCATTTTTCTAATAAGGAGTCCTGCGGGGGGGGGCGTCATTAATCGTCACAAATTGGACCTCAGCGGCGCTCCTGAGTCGACAACAGAGCGGTGTTTTAATTTATATTACTGCCAGTTACCGACGGTATACCAACGATAACCTGGTTACCTGATGGAAACAACAAACAAGAACAGTAACAAACATTTCAGCTTCTTATTTTCTCTGACTTTATAATGCTTCGTCCCTGACAGTGAATCCGTCTCTGTGGCTCTCGTCACGTTTCCTGCCCTGTTAAGTCAGATTAGAAGTTTTCCTCTATAACGCATATTACTGTTATTACTATTATTATTATTATTATTAACGATTTCTACGGTCTCTACTGACTCCATCAAGCAGGAACACATTTGAGTGTACATTATACCTGGACACGGTCTGTGGTTAAAAGCGTTTACAGTTTATGCCACCATTAAACTGGATTATTTATTATTTAATATCTGATTAGAATGAACGATTATAGAAACAGCATTAAGAAATTCGAACCAACTGACTGCCAAAACGTCCTGGGTTACTGAATGCCGACCATGTCAAGGCACAAAGGTACGGAAGTTCATTTCTGCCAATGTGACGCAGCCAATACAAGATACGTCATTCAAAATGAGAAAGTTTGGACCTTTAAAAGACTTCATCAGACAAACAGTGCAGCGTTGATAATACTGAGTCCTTCCTGGACTTCTGAAAAGGTTTTAGAAAGAACGTCTGATGTGTGTTTTTATGTTTTCAGGTCACTGGATACCACAGGACAGAAATAAACAGTTGTTCATTATTTGTATAACTTCATTTACCCAACTCTTGTTCCGGTGAGAACCAAAATGGTTGATGCAGTGCTGTATGTTCATTTGATCGGCTGAAACTGATCCAACAGGAGGAACTTTAATACGTCTTTGTTATGTTCTTACTTCATAAATGAGATTAAAAATGAGACTAAACTGCTGCATTTGGTTACCTGGGTAAACACAGTTCTCATCTTTGAATATCCGTCCTCAAAATAAAGCTTCAACTTTATCAGTCCTCCCAGGGTTGTCCAGCTGTCCCCACATTCAAACCAGGTTTTATTTCATTTTTAAATTCAGTTTTAATTATGTTTTTTTATGGACTCAACTGCCGATTGTAATTCATCTTCCTGTAAGACTTCAAACTGATTTGTCCTTTTACATTTCAAACAATTTTTTTATTCTTGTATTAGTGGACATGGGGACGTCGGTTTACACTGTAAACGCTTATCTAATATAGAAATAAAGAAAAGAACCCCGACCTGTATCCTGTTTATATCGTTATTCATCAAATAATGATCCGTCCACGATCTGACTGCTTTAGTGACATTTAAAAATTCATCTGTGATGTGTGTGGTGGAGAGAGTGTGTGTGTGTGTGTGTGTCGTGAGAGAGAAGAGATGTGTGTGTGTGAGAGAGAGAGAGTGTGTGTTGTGTGTGTGTTGAGAGAAGTGTGTGTGTGTGTGTGTGTGTCTGAGAAGATGTGTGTGTGTGTGTTGTGAGAGAGTGAGGAAGTGTGGTGTGTGTGAGAGAGAGAGAGTGTGTGTGGTGTGAGAGAAGAAGAGTGTGATGTGTGTGTGTGTGTTTGAGAGAGTCGTCTGGTGTGTGTCGTGTGTGTGTGAGAGAAGCGAGAGTGTGTGTGGTGAAGAGAGAGAAGTGCTGTGTGTGTGAGAGAGAGAGAGTGTGTGTGTGTGAGAGAGAGAGAGAGAGTGTGTGGTCTGTTTCCCCTCTGAGTGCGACTCAAGTTGGGGGGTGAGGATGATGAGGAGCGCTGCTGAAGCACCGACGCCAACTGCTGCTACTCCTGCATTTTTAAAACCCAAAACTCCAAACACACACACAAAACACACTCACGACCACACTCACAACACCACAACACACACACTCAGATTCCTGATTTCAGATTTTTAAAGCATCAGCTGATCAGAGAGACAACATCAGTTGAAAACATTGAAATATAAAATTAATGCTCCATGGACCCACCAAACACCTACACAGTAACAATAAATTAATAACAATAACTAACAGTGTTT